TTGGCAACGCTGCCTTGGATATTGGCTCTAGTGCCAAGTTCTCTGAGAAAAGCGTTCCTGGTGAATGATCGCGAATGTTTGCTTCCACTTTTGTGGGACGAATATGTAACAGGTTACGTTTGTAGGTTCCACAATTCTGCGATTTCACTATACAAGTGTGTGATCCCAGTTCATCAGCTACCTTTCCAGGAATCAATCTTTCACCGGACTTCCGCTCAAAACAAATGTTATGACCTATACCGAGATGTCTCTGGTCAGGTGGTATCGTTTGAAAGACTGAGGTGTTCCTCCACGTCTTTCTTGTAGAGTTTCATGTTTCCTATTGACAGATGGTACTAAAGTTTGCGTCGATCGTCCAAACATCCTTTGTGCTTGACTTCCTCCATCGTCATGTTGCTGACGAAGATTATTCAAGTTCTCGTGCTTCATCTCTTGGCAAGCTTCGCAGTCAGCGGTCAGTTGTTTGAGGTCGTCTCTTATACCGCCTGTTATACCGGGTCAATATACAGTTCCCTTCGATCGATGAAGCATCGATTCGTAGCCAGCATGTGATTTGTGAAGTAGCCTTTTCATGTCCGCTCTAAGCGGAATTACGATGGCCTCTCGTTTTACAATAAGACCATCATATACACTGAGGGTGTCTCTGATATCATAGTTAGGTTTACAGATATATGGACAGGCCTCTTTGGAAGTGGGCCATCTAGTTTCGATAGTGTCTTTCCAATCATTTAGGTACTTTGTAGTTTCCGTCCTAATTTCACAGAACACAGGCGTTCATTTATACCATAAGCCCGTCTTATAGTATCTACGATAACTAGTTTATCTCCCTTTAAGAACTGAAATTGGATGTCATATCTGTTTCATTATGATATCCTTTCGACCGTAAGTAAACTGATAGAATTTCTGTAGTCCATGTAAAATGGGCAATGTCTCCTTCCCGATTTGGGCCCATTTTCATTCAGCTGAAGCCACAGCCCTGGACGCATATTCGATAAGACGTCTGTCATGCAGCAACATTGCACCTGGATCATCTTTGTTGCTTTAAACATGAAGCACGAGCTCCTTTTCAGGGTCGAAATATGCAAGGACAGGTATTTTTGTCAACATTTATTTCACCTCATTGAATGCGTCCTAACATTCTTCAGTCCAGTTTCTATTCACGTTCTTGTGAGTGAAAGCTCTGAAAGAATCTAGTTTCGATGATAAACTAAGGACAAATTTTCCATGTACTGGACTATTCCGCAGAATATTTAAACACGTGAAACGTCGGTAGGACTTGGCATTTGTAGAATTGCCTCCACTTTAGCGTCGCCGGCCTTCATGTGTAATTTTGTGACAGTGAAATGTTAATTTCACGCATACATATTTCCTTTTTGCAGTCATTAAGAGTCTCTACAGCGTTTGTAGAGTTTCTCGAGTTAACACTAATTGTTTTGCTTCGCGTTATCAACGGTTCCGCCACATCCAGCGATAATGAAGTTCTTCCCAAGTCACCTAAGACGTCTGTGAGCTTGCGTTGGAAAATTTCGCTCGAGACTTTAAAACCAAAGGCTAGCCTTTGCCATCGGTATATCCAGTCACTTACCAATTCGTCAATTAACGACATTTGTCATCTAACCGTACATGCCAAAATGCCTCTATCTAGCTTGCTGAAGATTTTGGCGTTTTGGAGTTTCGGTAGAATGGCATCTAACACATAAAGCAAAATGGTCACGTAACAGTGCTGTGTTTAGAGCTTGAAGGTCGATACAAAAGCGTAGTTTTCTGCACAAATGCCATTAGATTGACCCGCCTCGTAGGATTCTTCACTGGAGTCAATACACCTCTTTCTACCAGTGTATCGAGTTCGGTCTTGACAATGTCCTTTATAGCAAGTGGAAGTTTTCGACAGGGTAAGGCTTTGGGTTGAACATCAGGGCCTATTGTGAGAATTGCCACCCCTTGGTAATTTAACTACGTATCATCCTTCACGACTGAGCCTGTGTTGACTTTAGCAATGAATTTGTCACCATTCTAGTTATCCAGGCCATCTGTTGTACTGTTTTTAGTCCCAACAAATTATTGAACACAATCAGAAAACAGTTTTTCTTCTCCATTCTTAGGATATTCTGACGACGATGTCTGTTTTACCATAGGGTTTTATTTTCGAGTCATTGAACATCCTCAAAGTAGCAGTGCTCTGGCGCACTTGATCTTTCCTTTCAAACTTTTTGAAGATTATATTCACTTACGCTGCGCTATTAAGTTGAAATCGGACTTTGCACCTCAATCAGTGCAGTGACCTGAAGTTTCGTATCACCGACATTCTTGCTTGCTGCATTTAACCAAAACTCGTCCCCATCAGAGTCAGAGTACGGGTCATTTTCAGTCTCGGTTCCAAGAACATTTACCTTTTTACACCTAAATTGAAAATGATTCCTTCCATGACACGTACCGCATGTTTTGCCCCAGGCTGGACACAAAGCTTTATTGTGATCATGTTTTGACCGCATGTTTTGCCCCAGGCTGGACACAAAGCCTTTTTGTGTTCATGTTTCGACCGCATGTTTTGCCCCACGCTGGACACAAAGCTTTCTTGCGATCATGTTTCTTACCGCATGTTTTGCCCCAGGCTGGATACAAAGCTTTCTTGTGCTCATGTTTTGTACCGCATGTTTTGCATGGTTTAAGATTCTCCCGTCGACTCATAGTGTTCGGTTTCTGTACACGTGTGGTATCTGGATTTGCAGAAGTTTTGTGTTGTATTTTCTTCCGATTGTCATGTATTTTATTCACTTTATTTACCTTTTCCCCTTCTTCCTTCATTTCCTTTGTCTAGTTGCCTGCTCATATGACTGACAAATTTTGATGTTTTTATTTTAGGTCCAGTCGTCATCTTTAAGAAACAGCCGTTGAACTTGCCAAGAAGTCCTGAACATGATGATTTGATCTCTTATCATTCTGTCCCCCTCCTGTTAGTTACATGCTACCGCCTTAACGCGTAATTCTGTCAGGAATGGGTCAAACGGTTGGAAATAATCCATTATCCAGAATTTGTGAGATTTTGTGACTTCATTTTTTCTAGTATAGCAATATTGCTGAATTTTCTTAAATACGCGTTCGGGATTATCCTTGTCTTCACCTTCATCCATTCAAAATTGCCATATACTTTTTTAAAGTTTTCCACTCACACAGTTGATTATCGTTGCCGTTTGCACGGCATTGTTGAGTTGATGAGTTCCACTTGCGAGCAAATAAATTTGGACTTACTTTTTACACAACTTGAAATGTTCTGATATATTTCCTGTATTATCACTTCTGAGGGAGTCTTATTTTTGGGTTGATCTGTACCGTATTGACGACAGGATTTTGTTGGGGTAGATTCTCTAATTGTGTGATGTCGTCGGACTTTTAGTTACCTCGTAGTTTTGGCGCAATTTCGATATGGGCGAAGTATCAGTTCTAAATTCATGACATTGACTTCTCTAGATGACGAGTTTCTTGGTGTTTGATTGATATTTTACAGCCTTACCGCCACCATGTTGACCGAGTCCACAATAGCCCAATGATATCACAACACAAACACCGTGTTAGTCTCTTAGACCATGCTGTATTACCGAAAGCAAAAACATATTAACATGGTTACATGATCTTACGGAATGAATTTGTAAATTTAAATGGAACGAACAATAACATCCACTATTGTCAATAAGTAAGTAACCAATGAACTCAGAAATGTTCAGTTTATCTTTAGGTGGGTGTTCATATCGAAATATAACATGAACTTAACACAAAGCAGTTTAATAGAAAAAAATGTATTTTTGTGTATCTCGCAATGAGACCAAAGTAGACAAGGTAGATAACTCAAACGTACAAAAAATCGCTATTGTTTCGCGATATGAAATAACCAAGTTGAAGGACAATCAAGTTTCTTCATATAAAAACACTTCAAAAGTGACTAGTCTAATGTCTTAAACTAATCTACTGTGTTTTTATCTAAGAACTTAAAGATGACACAGAGCGAGCAGGCGAACATTATTTACCATGCTGTGTATTCAGAAAGAGGCAATTACATAACCAGGATGTTGACTAGATAAAATAGATCCGGAACCGGTGCTCTGGCAGCCTCATTTCATGAGGCATTTTATCAAACTTCCAAAGTTCCATGTTAGTAGGGTTAAGTCCATTTACTTCATTCTTTTCAAAAAATACATGTACGTTCTCTTCATTTCATATAATGGAATTGTGATACCACAGCCGAGGTATAATTTGAGGGTTGTACGGTCGAGGTCACCGTCGCTGTTTTTAGAAAATCCTTCTCGACTCTCTTACAATTTCATGTCCCAGGGAGTACACACTACTATATATTCTTATGTAATGTCCCAGGAGGTACACACTATTATATAATCTAATTTAATGTCCCAGGAGGTACACACTGTTATATATTCTAATATTTAATGTCCCAGGCGGAACACACTGTTATATATTCTAATTTAATGTCCCAGGCGGAACACACTGTTATATATTCTAATTTAATGTCCCAGGGGGTACACACTACTTTATATTCTTATATAATGTCCAAGGCTTAACACACTACCGTATATTCCTATATCATATCCCAGGAGGTAACACCGTTATATTTTCTAATTTAATGTCCCAGGCGGTACACATTACAATGTATCATTATTTCAGGTCCCAGGAGGTACACGCTATTTTATATTAATATTTGCAGTCCCAGGAGGTACACACTACCATATATTCCTATTTCATATCCCAGGAGGTACACACTGTTATATATTCTAATTTAATGTCCCAGGCGGTACACACTATCATATATTATTATTTAAAGTCCCAGTAGGTACACATTACAATGTAATATCATTTTGTACACTTTTTGACAGAAAGTTAACTTAATTAATTACTTTATTTATAGAACTATTTTAACATCGCTACATATATATCTACTATAGTATAAATAAGAATATTAATTGTCTACGGTAGACATCAGAACCCCTGTTTGTCTAAGATCCTTTGAACTCTGGATATCCTAGAAGCTGATACACAGAAAAACAAGCTTTGTTAGTTTCCTTTAGTACAGTTGAGTTAATTTGTTTTTTCCATGTACTTGCCGTTTTCGCGGAATTAAATCTGTAGGTACTGCCAGCATTTCCCTGTTTAGAGGAGGCAGTTCTGGCTGTCAGTCGAATTTGGTCGTTTTTACTAAACTGATATCCAAGAAAGTCGTAAATTCCTCTGAATGTCTCTATAGGATTGCCCGCAATTTCCTCGTAAAACACCGTATATAATCTACCTGGGTGAGCTCTTTTTACTTCTACAGATGAAAGGTAATCCGCCATTATTTTCTTACATAATGATACGGCACCACCCGGAACAGGCGTCCAGCTAAATTTGTCCCTTGAATTCATTATGGCTCTTGGATCTCTTATAAGATGAATTATTTTTAAATTGGGTAACTCGTCCAAAAGTTTTGATGCAAGACTAATACTAAGTCTTGGAATTTTGCTTACTTTTGAAACTCTGTTGGAACATTGATGGAGATATTTCTCTAAACAATCATTCCACGTCATATTGCATTCATGGGAAGGAAGTTTCCAACCTGTCAAATTTGTCTTTTGGTATCCTTGAGATTTCGTTAGTTGCCATTCGTCCAACAGGTACCGGTAACGGTCAGTGTCACACGTGTATATCCCACGCAGGGCGTCCAGAACCTCTTCATCAGAGGTGCCATTGTTGCTACTGAATATTAACAAATGGATTGGTCAGCATTTGGTTTTATCAAATTGGTTGGTTTTGATGTACATGACTTAAATAAAAAAAATTAAACACGTGCCCTTGTGTCATAATTTTTTGAGATCTTACAAAAGACAATTGAAAAATACCTTTCAATAAAAATTTAAGGTTTGATACAGTAGAGCCCAACACTAAATTAAGCCTATTGTTGTCAAGTTTTCACATGTCATATGGAATCGATTTTGTGTATTTGAAAAATTCTATGACGGTGATTCAAATGTAACCAAACTCTGCATCCAAAATATGCATTACTGATGTTTATTAATATTTTGTACTCTTAGAAGTGGTACGAAATATATATCTCTTTCAATAAATAAGATATATTTCGATGTCTCCAAATAGCTCAACCTAGAATTATCATCCAACATCCCCATTTTTTTTCTAAATATTCAGATCAATTGATATGATTTAGATATGTAAACTGCTTTGATTAATCAATGTTTTTGTAGCCTCTGTAATGCCGTTTTAACAAGACATTATGACATAATGAGAAGAGGGATAGACAACGATGTATTTATAATAAGAATATGGCAATTATTTACATATTGTCTGGTATTATTATATCGAGTAATCTGGCAATGTATAAGGTGATTCGACACAGACTGAAATGATTTTTATACCAATCCGAGTTAAGATGGATAAAGTTTTGGAGTAATATAATTGAATTTCAAATTGGGTTGCTGCACCTCCCCATCTAGATTTTGACTTTCCTTCCGGTCATTTTAGATCTTCCTCAGTCGCCTTCTAGGCTTAACGATTTGGACTCTAAGCATCACTGACGAGTCCTAAAAGGACGAAACAACTATACGATGTAGCATCACTGACGAGTCCTAAAAGGACGAAACAGCCGTATGATACAATTAGATTAATTGCTTGGCTCTACTGTATCTTACTCTAAATTATTAAAAGGTACCGTCTTTTGTACAACCTTTGAGATAACACAGCCGATGGACTTATTTATCTGACATCGTAGATTACAGAAATGGAAAGTCTGACAGGACCAAGCTTAAAACAAAACAAAGGTTCCAGACAGAACAGGAACATCATACAAAGTGCATTGACATATTTTCATTCTTTTCTGTTTTACTTTCATTAATAAACTGAATCTAAAGCAATGCTTATTTGATTTACGTACAATGTATCAAAACCAAATACAATCATAGGAAAAATTACCATTGCGCTTGTAATTAAGAAATGAAGTAGAAATGCAGCCATACATAAAATATCAAATATCCTACAACATACTTATTATGTTTTTTATAAAAAAATATGAGACTTTTAACCATATTATTATACATGATATCTGGCCAGAATACACACCTGCAGCTTTCGTTCATCATGCTACACACGTAGCCGGGCCTAAAGTACCCAAATAACGCCATTTTGTGTAATGGTTCGTAGATATAAAAACTTCCTTTTCGTAAACCAACCATATCTCCGAAGAAGGTAGTTCCACCTCGTAAATAGCCAATAATCAAAACGTCATATGTCTTCTTACTGTATGTAAAACAACATCCGTTATATAATTATCGGAAATTCAGCAACATAAACATTATTACATATTATAATTGACATCGATGAACAATCACATGACATGAAGTCGACAAGAAATCGAAATTGACAGGGCTGGCGAAAATTTCAATAGTAGGTATAATGTGTAAATACAAGCAGGTTTTCGTGTTGAGGACATACTCCTGTAAAACAGTCTGTATTTGACCTGTCAAAGGTAAGATTTTATATCATGGTTCTATCACAATGATCCTCTACATCACATTATGATTCGGCATTTTTTTCATGATCCATCAAGTCTTATTGTTAATGATGAGCCTAAAGAGTCGTCCCGATATTCTTTCTGATATAATTAGTTTTTTTTAGATCAGATCAGGGTTATGCATTTTAATAATATTCTTAGTAACATGAAGTTATATCTTTTCATGTTATTTCATTCTTATACAGGTTTTATGTAGTATCAGAAAAATGAAGAAATCCAAGAATTATCTTCAATATGTACACGACATTAAAGAGATAAACATAGACTTTTCTTTGTTGTTATAATACAATCACAGTCATAAATTCACAAATATCTACAGCCATCACTGACATAACAAGTGCCTACATGTTAACAGAAACTTAATTCAAAGTCAAAACCAATTAAAAGAGGGCAAATTTGCATTGAGACTTTTTGAAAATCACATGGAGAATACGACCAAGTATTTCCAAAATTTTGTTGTTACAATTTTTAATTAATGGAAATAGGACAACGTCTTCAAATGAGAAAAAGGTTAGCGCCTTCAAAACATCTAACTATATATCACACAAAGAAATGTAATAATTTCATATGAGATAATTATGACGATCACAAAACGTTACCATATTCTTCATCAATCTGCTAATCTCAAACTTATATTTATCTATTTTAAAATTTCATTTTTGTCAGCATTGAAATTTTGTATCATTGCCCAAATATATCATTGAAGAAACCAAAGCAGACAAAGAAGGTGATGCAGTTTTATCATACATAATATATCATATATGAAGTACTGTATGATTGTTAATTTTGCTGGTCTAATATTATGCTGTCGTTAGTTTTCAGTTAAATTTGGCGTATGTCTATAAATTGATATTGTTGTATATGACATTTAACATAGATTTTCAGTTCACCTCACGATCTACTCATACCTGGATTGTAAGGTGTGTATATCTTACAATTATCAATTATCTGGCACGACAATTGAAGACGCACGTATTTTCTATTAACATGGAACATTAACATCATATACAGTTATTTGATATTTTCTGTTTCAACTTAACTTCAGTTATTCAATATATGAAAATTTCCGTCTAGACTTTGACTTTTCATCGGTAACCTCATAGACTTCAACATTTGGGTCCTTAGCATCACTGACGAGTCCTTGTAGCAAGAAACAGTTGTATGATGTAGTTTAAGTCGTTGTTTACCTCTGCTCTAACTCTAAAGGTGTATTATTAAAAGGTGTTATTCATTTGTGTGTCTTTTCTACAATCTTTGATGACTATAAACATATCGAAATTGAAATTGAAATCGAAAACCATTTTTCCTCGAAGTGTTATCGATGTCCAACAGGGAACTAGTCCGACATCAACAGTGACAAATAGGTTTCATGTAACCTCTATATTTTACGATCACACAAGAACATTAATCACATAAATATTTACTCCTATTTCAAGTTCTCCGAAAATTAACAGATATATCAAGATTAGGAAATTTATTGAATATCGAGGATTTATGAAAAATACAACTCAATAACTTGCAGACATGAAGTGACAATGACAATATGACAAAAACAGGTTACAAATATATATTTTTTCTTTCTAATGATGTTAAGTTAAGAACCCTTTATTTTGTTGAATATTGATATCGTGGATTAAAGGTTTATATTACAGGAAGTCAATTAATAAATAGCTCTCCTATTGTTTAAAAGGCATTTACAACTTTATAAGATTAACGGCATCTCCTAACACAAAAGTAAGAAATATCGTTTTATTATGTTTTCATCGATGTTAGTAGTCATACGTTTGGTTTAAAAAAACCATACATAATTTATATATGTATTTTCCAAACTTACTTGTCACGGTCATTTGACATACCAAATAATGTGAAAATACCAAAAAAACATGGTGCGTATTTTCTTAAATCTTTCGTGTGAAGCATTTCTTTGGGCATGTAGAACTAGGCAACTGATAAAAACAAAAACGAAAACAAAACAAAAAATAAAACTGACGACATTAACAGAAGACGGCACCACAAAATCAAACAAAATACAAAGGTCGGGATAATATTAATAGTGCTTCTTTAACAAATACGTACACGACAGAACAACGAATGACTACAATTCTATAACATTTCTATCAATTTTTTCATATAAATAATATAATAATCAAATAGTGTACTCACCTACGAAAAAGGTTATCAAAACGACTAATAATATCCTTGATAATTCCTCGATCTCGGAGATATAACAGGAGAATAAACATGAACACCAAGCTGACGGCTACAACACGCGTCCGACATTTTCGTACCATGTTTAACGAAATATATACTGTCACCTAGTCGTTTATATTTGGTCAAAGATCGATAGTCTCATGACCTCAGTGTAAAGAATAAAACTACGCATGCGTGTTAAACGCACGATTTTTTAAAAATCAGAATTAAGGATATAAAGCTGTTGTATTGATAAAACTACATTAGATTGGCAGTTTTTTGGTTTCATTTCAGTCTTTTGAAAGTGCTTATCATCTATTTGATACGATCTAGTCTATTTGACAAATAATTTACTCACATTATTAATTATCTTATTTTGTAAGAAAGGTGAACATTGTATGGCGTGGGATATAGAGCGGGGATGGGTAACGATCTGTACATTTACTGTTAAACAATTGCGATTGAATATGATTAAAAAAATGACAAGCACAGTAACGTAAGAAGATATATCACTTCTGCGCTTTTTCAAATATCACATTATCACATTTCTGTTCGGACCTGGCTGTCACCAACTGTGTTGAGTAAAACTCACCCCGTTTTAACTCTTGAAAGGACGGTACAATTGATTGATACTTGTTTACACAGTACACAAGGACCGCGTCAATAAATTGTTCGTTTAGATGACTGAAGTATAAAGCCGGTTCTATTTAGGTGTTCGCTCTCTCTCTCTCTCTCTCATTCTAGTTTCCAGATGAGGTTAGCAAATAACTATTTTCTACTTAGAATATTTTGCTGTCCCGTCAGCGGGATAACACCTCTGTTTCCTCGCTACCCCGTCCGGACAGCGAGGATGACTTTTAATATCATGTTGTGGTGGTAAAATTAATGCCTGTAGTTCGACTAGGAATTCAATGCGAGGTCGAGGCAACACCCTCTTGTGTTAAAGCCCTACTTTAACGCTACTACAAACACTTGGCGTCGTGACCAAGATGGCATAGTACTGTGAGATAGAGAACCACGGTTTGAAGTTCTTGAACTATTATTTTTGTAACTTTGACAATTTTTTTTTTTTTTTTATTTTTATTTTTTGTAAATTTTTGACCAGAAGATTAGATATGACTAGTTCCCGTAGGGTTTTGGGCTCGTTCTCCGACGTAAGGTCATATACAATGGACAACCTTTGGCTACTTCTACCCCTGCAGATCCAAGACATCAGACTATGGTTACATGGGTGATAGGTTCCCCTAGTCAGACAAGTATGATAATCGTGCACTATTAGGGCTCCAGCTAGCTCCATGCGAGCTACACGTAGGAGATTGCTCACTATCCAATCCCAGAGGGCTAACCAAGTGCTAGACTTGTCCCTGGAGAGTATTCACCAAGAGCCGGTGTCACAATTTCATGGTGTAAAAGAAAGCCCTACCATGGCTATTGTTGTCGCTCCTCATACATACCTTTGGGTGTATACATCACTAAATCAAAACTAGACTGCGACAAGAAAACGGAACTAGACTATATCTTTACAAAAAGAAAACATCAAGTGGTTTTTAACACAATATGTACAATATCATGGGATTTTTAAATAGATCATACGACGAGTATAAACTATTACCTGGCATACTGATCAACGACCCTTTTTCAGAACTAAAGGCAAACAAAGAATTCTAAAACGATTTCCAGTCTTTATTTGTACCGTATTTAAATATTAGAGGTCGGTGATCGTTTCTATTATGTCTTTGTACCACTTGTCATTATTGAAAAGCCCTGAACCGTAAAGATATTTAGTCCAATGTTTAATGTATTTCATGTCATATTTTATTTACCGGTGTAACGTTGAAAACTGACTCCGATGAACCATCGTAGAGAGTCCGTTTTCCATGGGTATCTTGTTAAAAAGTGGCCGTTGAAAATGAACCTCTTCAAGATTGAGATCGAAAATATTGCAAAATCAATATTGCTTCCAAAAATGGCCGGTAAAGGCGGAGTTGAAAGTGAGGGTGGAGTAGGGAGAGGGATGTTCCTTGTCTTTAACTTTACATAGTAACATAATGTGTAAATAGAAAACATACAATATTGATTGAAATTGATAACTTATTTGACATGTGACCTTTAATGACTTTTATAGTGAAGTTTGATTTAACGTTGTAATACATGTAATATGCTAAGAAAATTTGTGCAATACTGATTGATATATATGAACTTTTTGACCTCTGATGTTTGGTGATTTATACAACCTTTGGCATATATGTATTTTGTTTATATGCGCAATCAAACAATTTTGAAAATTGGTGGGAATGGATGAAAATTTTAAACCTGAGGTATGGACGTTAATGATAACGGTAATGAAAAGATTGTTTTTAACATTAACAAGAATCTCTGACTAATATGACATGTGATCTCTGGTGATTTATTTATTGGCCTGAACATACACCTGCAGTGTAATCATATGTGGAATCAATTTGTTATGAAACCTCCATTGACATACAGCTGTAAGAATTTCGCGCCTTTGCAATAACATTAGCCAAGACCATCATGTTAAAAGTCCTTCACAAAAATACCAGGATCATAGGGAGGAATGTTACGAAAGAGATCTTAACAACAATACCAGGATCATATGAAAGCATGTTAAAGAGATTTTTACAAAAATACCAGAATCATAGGGAGGAATGTTAAGAAGAGTTTTACATCAATTCTAAAAATCATTGGCTTTGCCACTGGTTTATGATAAAGCAAAAATGATCGTCAGGATATTATGGGGTCTTTTTTCAACGTTGAATTTGGAACCGGGGTCATTTATTACGATATAGCGTGGTAAGTGCTTCATAACATTCAGAAGTCCTTTTTCAAAATTGAATATGGAACTGGAGTCATATATGATACATGGAATATTAAAAAGGGATTTATGTCATTATTTCAGTGTCCTTGTTCAGCCCTGCAAAAATGGAACCGGAGTCATATATCATGACATTAGATGGAATGGGCGTCGATATTTTTGGATCCTTTTTAAACGTAGAATATGATAGACAAATAAGAGTCAATGCTGACATCATCCAGCTCCACTGTTCACACGATTTGATTTCCGGGCAAAGACCTCATAGACTAGAGATGATCTCGGGATCAATTATTAAGTCCTGTGTGTATTCACCTCATATAAAACTCAACGGATTTACACGTTTTACAAAAGTCACCTCTGGGACAATTGCAGTTACAGTTCCCCCCCCCCTGCCCCCCCCCCCCTTTGCCTACGCCAGTGTCCCTAGGATAAGGCCTCAAAGCCAATATTTAAGTCATGAGTGTGTCGCCCCTAGGATTAGGTCTCAGAGACAATATTTAAGTCATGAGTGTGTCGTCCCTAGGATAAGGTCTCAAAGCCAATATTTAAGTCATGAGTGTGTCGTCCCTAGGATAAGGTCTCAGAGACAATATTTAAGTCATGAGTGTGTCGTCCCTAGGATAAGTCCTCAGAGCCAATATTTAAGTCATGAGTGTGTTATCCCTCTATTCCTTAAATAATTATATGTAGTTAAACCGTGGAGATCCAAGCGTCTAGGGATGATTCCGGATTCAATTCTCAAGTCTTTTGTTTATTAAATCCTCATTTCTCGACAAAGTAAACGTAGTCATTGGGAGGGGATCTTATGTTATCATGTGTAGACCCCCGGGCTAAGATCCCATGGTCAGGTCATGAGTGTGTTCGCCCCTCCATTGCTAACAAACGTATATGTAGTTACATGAAGGAGATCTCAAATGTTTCTATACATTATACAAGATCGGTTCAGACCGTAGGGGCAAGGGAAGAACCCGGAATCAACTATGAACACATGGCGTATACATAATTTGAATAGTTATATTATTGAAGATTCCATGCTATCATGCTGACTTTGGGTTCACTGCTCAACAGGGTCAATTTTCAACGAGTAGTGAAAATATCGTTCTGTTGGATTCCATTTTCAACGGCTAGCCGGTTCCATTAAATGGACCCAGGGTCTATTTTCCACGTTACACCGGTGATATTTTATATTTTCCGTCGTATTTCTGTGATATATAACGCACGAGGACAAGTCTCTTGGTAGGGAGTTATTTAGTTACATAAGTAAAATATGATTGTAGACAATTTTCAAATGAGTTTTGACAATATAACTTATTTTAAAACGAAACTATACGGGAAATGTGCATTTTGCTACTGTAGTCGAGAGAAAAGATGAAGCTTACACTGATACGGCACTCAAACTCCAAAACAACTCAATTTCTGAAAATACAAAACAAGTTGAAATAATCAATTCGACCAAAACTACGAATATTGATTTCGCTGATGGATGTTATTGCTGACGGTGGGGTTAACCGATTCATAGTTATTGATAAATCAAATGTCTTGCTGACAAAACCTTCGCCAGGGTTGGTGGCAACAGACTATTGGCCTATGGGAACTAATTATGCTCCTTTGTTGACTACTTTTTTGTTATCGTTTTCACACGAGCCTGAATTTTTTTTTTTGAAAAACGGACAAGAGACCTTGCAGAGTCATTCAAATTCACTTTCAGATGTATTGATGACGTCTTATCTTTAAATAATCTTTAAATACCCACCAGAATTGGAATCTAGGACACAGCAGACTCGTTTACATCAATCGCTTATCTCAATCTTATCCTACAACGAAATTGAAATGGTTGCTTTCCACGAAGCTTTAAAATAAGTGTGATGATTTCAATTCCACTCTTGTGAATTTCCCATTTTTAGACGAAAATCCCAGCCTCCAAACCTGAACTGTTTACATGACGCAGTTAATTTGATATCCCAAGGCCTGTCCCCAATATCACGATTTTCGTGCAAGAAGTTGTCAACTGAGGGACTAACTTATAGCAGGGTTTCATAAGATGCAGGATGATGAAAATCATGGGGAAGTTTTACGATCTTCATAGTGATCTCATTGCGATTTTTATAAAGCTCTTTAGTTTGTCTGATGGTCAAGAGTGCCGTCGAGGAGGCAGAAGAATCTTACTTGTACTCTTTCGTTCATATTTTCCCCTAGTTTGATCTAATTTTAGTTTGAATTATGAAATTATTTATTATTGAGAAATTATTTTCTTGTTTTTGGCCGATGAAAGGTGACGGACGTCAGATGAAGCGCTTTGATTCAGATCAACGACGAAGACGAGATTCGCTGTTGATCTGCTAGATAACGGTTCTTAAAACGGAATGCTTGAATTAACACTTCCATTAAGTATTCAGATTTATCCTATTTTTACTCTTGGTACCTATACACCGTTGTTTCATGAAACTAGATATGAGATTTTATTTCAGCTTTTGTATAAAAAGGTAATCTCAATGGCTATGATTACAACAGTCTGTTACGACACATAATATATTAATGTTCAACTGTCCATGAATGTGGAGAACGTAGAGGATAATATGGGTATTTTCTGAACGATTTCAACGTTTATTTAATCAGTGTTAAAGACATGCAATCCCTGAAGAAAACCGGTGTAACTTATTGTTCGAATGAAGAAAGACCACATTTAAACGCCGATCGTTGGGAGTGTCAATAAGATAATAGTTTGTGACATATCAAATAATAAATATTTGCTAAAACAATGTTTTTGAATATTCTGATATATGCATGATTGTATATGTAAATTGTGTAAAGAAAAATAGGTCAACTGTCATTTGTAGGAAATTCGGGTGAAAACTACACATGCATAATACTTCACAGACACTTTTGGTTTTTTTTAAGTACAGTGCATGTTTGTTTAACACTGGTATATAGCCAGTTATGTACAAAATATTTATATTATCCTGTATGTAAACCAATAAAAGTTCAGGTATTCATAACATTCACCTCATTTTCAAACTTTTGAAGTATAAACTCCCTACTAAAATTGTTTGAAATTTCTCTTTTGTTTATTGTAAAATTGTGAATGTTATCATATAACTCCTTAACAATGCCAGATAACCAAACAGGATACAGATGACTTGCTACACCACGAAGTCACTTCTATAATCTATGTTAATGGTCATCAATAGAATTGTACAGGACTGAACTCCCATAATGGGTGCAAAAGGATTCCTTCAAAACAAAAAAGTGCACCTTTCTTAATTTTCCATTTCATATTGAATTATTTTGTTTTGTATTTAATAACATGTATTTGTTATTCTATGTGATAACATGTATTTGTTATTAAATGTAATAGCATGTATTTATTGTAGGTAAAAACATGTATTTGTTTTGTTTGTAATAACATGTATATGTTATTCATGTAATGTATTTGTTTCGTATGTAAAACATGTATTTGTTTTTTTATGTAATAAAATTTGTTTTGTCTAATTCTTAAAACTTTTTATTTCATGTTTTTGATTCATGAGATATCTCAGTGTAACAGTTCCTGACATTTCAAATGTCTGCTGGATAGCTTTTCGTTGGAGCAACAAAAACATTACAAACACACACAAACATAATTTAGAATAACGGGTATCAATATGTCCAGTTTGCCAGTGTATCAGAATTGCACTTCCAACACTACAGTGCTTTGGAAAATTTGAACTTGAATTCAAATGCTTGCAATTCAAGGAAAAACATAGCATTCATATCAGCGATGTTAATCGTCTCTAAAACAAGAGTTCAAAACTGATTATAAATATCATATTCATATGCTTAACATTATTTGATCGGTAACAACACACTCAAATCAAACGTTCTTAGTTCTTTTTCCGGAGAGTTGAATAATATGAAATGAGGTAAATACTTTTAAAAAATGTTTACAGAAAGAGTGATTTTGTTTGTATTGAACAGTGAATCCAAGAATTAGTATCAGTATTTCAAATACAGAAGAAATGAAAAAAAGACATTACAGGTAGTCACATATAGATATACATCTTTTTGAAGGTTTCTAGGATGCTTAAAATACATACTGAGAGGTTCATGACATTATTTACAAAAATGGTCAAGAGTGACATTTGTGCGATAACCACCAAAATCCAATCACGCGTAGCACTTTGTGACGTGATGCTGTGGTGTGATTGTTAATCAAATATGGCGATGGGCACATGAGATGAGGTCTTGTCCGCTCGTCTCAGAGGCACAAAAATATTTCTATACACTCCAAGAACGTGGAACATAATAGTCCAGATTCTTATTAACATGAAATCTATTATATCTATAACTACGCTTTCCACTCCCCACCCCATCCGCTTTTTGCGGAAATTAAGAAAATGGAATGTGCATAGCGGCTGATCTACACGACAAGTATATGTACTTATGTTAAATTTCCCTTATGAACAAATAAGCGTCTAGTAAATATTTGATCGAAAGAAGTTTCAAAACACTTGTGTTATTGTTATAATCACGGTAATCTACCATTTAACAAGGAATGCATTTCCTTCATTATAACAGAATGAGTGGAGCAATCTAGCCACCCACTTAAAATAATTAGGAACATTTTTTCAAAAACCGTTATAATTCTTAGTAATTTGAAATATGTTTTGCTTAGTGTGTTAAAATTGGACTAAATTTACACTCCTTGAAAAATTATATTTGAAATTGGATGGATGAGACATAACTTTTCCATCTTCTTTTTTGAAAATAATCGACGTTCAAAATTAATTAGTTTTGAGAAGCGTCCTTATTTTTCCGTCGTGATGCGGGAATGGGTACGCCAAATACAATATCTCAGGAATGAGTAAAAAAAACTACTTAATCATGCACATTTTGTTAAATCCTTACACATCCTGATTTCAGTGACCGCTGACACAGAAGACTTGATCACATTAGAAATGTCATCCTGTCTCATAATTGCACGTTTCCCGTCGTAAGCATTTAGATAACGTTCAGTGACAGTATAGTCTAGATCACCAAGCTAAAAGTGTAGTTAAGTATAAGTTCTTCTAAAAGTCACCGCTAAGGGCTCTTATCTCATAAATATCGAGAAACATTGCGGCGTTCATAAAACACCACCTGATTGCGAATTGTCAAAGATGTAGAATTATGTGTACTTTGTTCGTATTTATCAAAACATTAAATTGTGTTAATGGAAAGAGTGGCCCAAAAGGTCCTTATCTATAAAAACTTTTTGAAATGCAAAACATTTGGCCAACCAATCAGATTGCCTATCAAAATTTGGATACGCCTCATTTTCGATTTTTTCGTATTTTACTTAGTCAGAACGCTCGATGATGTTTGAGACAAAGAGTTGAGTTAGGGTGCTTGGTGATCTAGACTGCTTGGTGATCTAGCTTGGTGCCAGTAGAGAAGAGTCAGTTCAGGTTCCACTCATTTGGATCAATGAAGGGTCACACATCAGTATCCTTTCTGTCCGGATCCAATTATGGAATGCAGCACGTATAACTGTAATACCACAGTCTCATACAAACTTGCTTACTACACACAACAAAGTCAGGACGACAAGTGAAACGGATTTGTCCTTGTTTCCTGAAAACAAGAAAATATCAGCACTATTAATAAACGATTCATTTGATACAGTGCAAGTCCAAAGTCAAATATCTGGATATTTCAAATAAGTTACTTCTTCTCTCAACGGCTTTATTTCTCTTCTTAGTGTTCATAGCTTCGTCATACGTTATAAATGTAAATCTTACATTGAAGATCAAAGAAATTTTCGGAACATAATGACGTATGTAAACCAATAAGACAACACTCGAAGACGACATTTTGACATCAACAGACAAAGGTGTAGACGGTAACACACTAAATCAGAATTAAGAGATAAAAACAATATATTTATGCAAGTATTATCATACGATTTCCACGATTACGATTGTCTCCCTTTTAACAGGAAGGAAATGTGGGGAAATACGACTTCCTAATTTACATAATTCTGAGTGGTGATATACGTGTCTGTTGTAATTTGTAGGTTTATTATATGTTCAGATAAAATATAATGATAAACTTATGCAATTGTGTAAGGATAGACGAATTTTCATTGTTTTGTTATATTGTGTTTTCACAATCGTAATGATGTTAATGATGAAATATCACCAAGGGTTGTGTCAACTTTATAAAGTAGAACAAGTTCTGTCAAAGGCGACAAAGCAGTGAATGTATATTTCTGTGGTAATTTTAATCTTAACACTTAATCGTAGATAAATCCAAACGCTAACGAATGTAGTGTGATCGGCATCACAGGGACGAAAATAGAAAAACACTTCACGTGGTGGCATTCATCATTCTGAGATATATGCCATTATATCAAAACAATAAGATATTAAACAAAACATTAACTAACCTTTGTTACAGCCTATGATACCATAGTTGTGACCCGTACACCCCGACTTCTCTCCGGTCTGGTCCACATTAATTACGTCCAGCCTACTACATCGACTTTCGACTAGGTGCGCAGTCTGGTTCTGTCCGGTCCGACTAAGTCCAGCACGTGCACATGTGCGTGCGGCCGCAGATGTACAGAATGTACGTACTTTTTCAGGCACGCGAGTCATTACCCGAAATAATTTACACATCTCCGATACTGTGTTACATAGACAACTAGCTGCTGTTATCGCATCTCTGAAATTAAAATCATACATTTTTTTTGGCCGATTTCACAGCTGATTATTCAACAACCATAGATTGCTTCCAAAATCACGAATGCATTGGTTTATTACAGAGAAATCATAACACAAGGTCTGTGGAATGTTGTGGTCAAATTGCTTGAATTCAATTATATTAGGAAATATTTAATGGAATTTTACATTTCAGAATCTCGTTATTATGCTTGAATGTTTAGTTGTCAGCTATCAGTTGGATTTTGACTTAACATGAATTCGGATTTCGTTCTCGGTTTTGTATGGTGTAGGGTTCTGTCCGTTGATGGATTCTTATTCATCATTACGATGGTTTATTTTTTATTGTACATTTGTCTTATATATGTATTGTTTTACTTACGCAAGTGTCTCTGCTTTAAAATTATGTTCGTCCATCGAGGAAAGTTTCCATAAGCTTTCTGCACCACATGTTTCGATATCTACTGCAGGTAATGCTAGAAAAGAAAGGAGCAGTGTGGTCTTCAATGTCTTTAACCACTTTAGCTCGACTGAACTTACTTATTAAATATTATAAAAAAACGAATGTGTTATAAGATTTAAACATTTATTACATTTTTTTCAGAAATTTTAACATTATTCAAAGGAAAGGAAAGCGTAGAAGCTGACCCCTACCTTATGTGATCCTCATCCCAAAAACTGATCAAACCAAGCAGTGAAAGTTACTGGCTGCTAAAACACGGCGTATACTCAAGGCAAGATTATATCTTTTCTCAAATTTAAACTTGTTTGATCGCCAAAGATAAGGTGTTGATGACAATTTGTAAATGGGATAAATCGACCAATAGTTTAAACAGTATTGGTATCCGGAAAACTTACCCTGTGTAGTAGTTGTCGGTGTCGTTGTAGGTGTTGTCGGTGTTGTAGTTGCAATAGTTGTAGTTGTTGGTGTCGTTGTAGTAGTTGGCATGGTAGTAGTTGTCGGTGTTGTTGTAGTAGTTGTAGTTGTTGTAGGTGGTGGTGTTGTAGTAGTTGTAGTAGTTGTTGTAGTTGTTGTGGTGCATTGTATATCCAACATATCGTAGCTATAAGAAGGCTCGAACAGTTTAAGGATAGTCATAAATTCGGGGCAAACGGAATTCATCTGAAGACATGCCTTAAATTGCCAATGTGATCTGAAACAACGGCCAACAGTTTGTACTAAAATGTAGAGTAGATCAAATGAAACACATCTGCAGAGAAGCGATTATAGCACGTTAAAAAAACACGTCCAATTTTTAAACGATTGAGTTTCTTTACAATATAGGGATAAAGAGGTTCACATGAGCAAGTATTTCCAAACTTGATTTAAATTATTAATGACAAGAATATTGAATGAAAAAAAAAAACCTTGGCTTAAAGCCAATACCTATATCTTTTCCACCAACGTTGTCATTATTGTGACGGGTATTATTCAGTGTAATTATTTCAATGTTTTTTCTCATAATTTAGCATAATGTACATACTGGCAAGGTGTGGAGGAATCTGACAAGTAGCTGATATGAATACGACAGGATTTTATTGCAGCAACGGTAAGATCCAAATTAGAGCAACCTTAAGTGAAAAAAGACATGATAAAAGAATATTTACATAATATTTCCAAAATAGTTATAAGTTATAGGCTCTTTGCGTTGAACCCATATCAATTAGTGTATAAACCTTATTGGTATGAATACAAATGTCGACTGGTGTTAGTGTCACAAATTACACATCAATTGGTTAAAATGGCTACTGATTCTTGTGATCTACTTTGTGTCACTTTTTTCCTGACAAAACATTGACTACTTACCGGTTTTACAGAATTGTTGCCAAGTCAACACTATTTCCTGGTCTAGAAGTGACAAGTAAAATGGCTGCTCGAATTGACAAGACACTGTATCTGCACACTCTAGGCTACTGGTGAATGACCTAAACATGATTGGTTACGTTATTTTATTAGTGTCCTAATGCGTCTTTCAGTGTAAAACGAATTCACGGGCTCACCAACAACATTTTTACCAATTAAGAAAAGCAATGACCGCAGTTAGATTGCAAAGTTGAAATATCGTAAAAAAATCTAATGTCGGTCGTTTAATTTTGTGTCAGTGTCCCATCCAAACAATAAGATCGATAGCAAATCAATTATCAAGGAAGCATCTTTTTACTATAAACTTGTTTCGAATTTACCACTGCGCGTGTAAAAACACGTGATTACACTTACCTGCAAAATTTCTCATATTCCGATGTATTTTGTAGGATGACATCTGTTGCAATCATATTCGTACAGGAAGGAAAGCTCTGATAGTCAAGACAAACTGCAAAACCAAAAACAAGTTAGAGCAAGAAAATTGGAAATAAACGTGCCAAGAATGGGATGGGGTTAACATTGTATTCAAACCATTCTCGTCTCTCAGAGTTATCTCCCATCTACTGCGCGGATAACGTGTTTTGCTGTCGACATTTACTATAATATTAAAAAAAATAGGGATGTTTCCTCACACTTATATTCGCATTGTCGATCTAGTTATGTAGTTCTGTAACGTGCAGCCTAGCTTTGCACACGGTGGGTAAGTCTCTGATTCCTTGCAGAGATACTAGCTAACAAATGCCGATATATACATATAGTGTGGAACAGCAAACTCTACCTGAGTTAACAATAAAACTAACGAACGAACTAGTATTCACATGGACTGCTGTCCCGACACAGACTGTTCTGACTAGCATGTGAGCGTGAGTGCAAGCTCGACACCCAGTGACTTCACCTAACCCTAGTTTCAACTACTGAACTAGTCGCCGAGCAATACCACTCACTTAGTCGGTCCTGACTAAGCACTAGGTTGTCCTACCAAGTAAGTCAACCCTTGCTCGTGTTCCAACCTAACCCTATAGCTAGCTACCCACAGTCAAAAGTCCAAGCTTCGGTGAGAACTAAACAGCTCTCGCACCAGCTTGACAAGTGGTTTCGGAAAAGCCACTATTTCAGACTTTCACCCACCACCTGTTAGAAATGACTGTGTTACTTGCTTAGTAAGAAGGCTTTCGTCGTCTGTGTATCTCTGAATGCTTCACCAACAGTCAGTATAACAGCGCTCGCAATAATTCAAAGTAATAATTATATACATGTATAATAAACTCTTTCATTAGGTGTGACAATTGTTGATATTTAATTTACCATAAATGATGCATACTAAAATATTAACATAGTACAGAATACCTTTCCATATCTTACTTCATAAATATAAACATTTGTATTAATCGACGAAAATCATTAGATGAACAAATTAACCAATATGTAATTAGCTATAATCATATTCAAGGGACATGAATCTTATACTTCAATTTCCATTACACAACTCATATTCAAGGGACATAACTCTTATACTTCAATTTTCATTACAGTTCTAGCGATAATTTGCTTTGATTACGTTAATGTTGTGTGATTCCACACTCCAGACCCTTCAACAAACCTCCAGTACAGGCATCGTCCGCGTCAGTCAATGTTTCCTGCCATTGCAGTCTCAAGTATTCATATTTATCTAGTCCACATTGTTCCATGTGTACGTTGTAACATCTGATGTAACTGCTGTTCAGGAGTGATATTCTAAGTGGAAGTAAATGGTAAACACAATATCAAATATATGGTCACAAAAACACGACACAAAGACATTCCATGGAGTATACATGGTATTTCAGTCAAGAATTAAAAAAAACATTTGAGGTTTGGAATATGTGTTAAACTAGGCATAATTTGCAGCCTATCCGAGAACCTTGTTTACTTCCCGGGAATTAGAAATAGGTGATATTATCTCATTTTGTTCTGATTTACTTTCAGCTTTGTTCGTCCTTGTGATTTACTATGGTGATTTTGTCGTGTTATATAAACACTTGTGACAATGTTATTTTCACGATCGCCATAGTGATTTCATTGAGAAATATCATATTTCTTTGTAGATATAAAGCTGACCGTGTTTTATGCTCGTTTGTGTGCCTGTTTGGTCCGTTGTTGTATAACCTGTTCGCATTTAAGAAGATATTACTTACTTAGATTGACCAAAGTTTACGTTCCGGATGTCGTCGATGGAGCAGAAGTCTTATTTTTCTTGTTCTTAGTCAGTAAATCTTCCGTTTGTTCATGTTTTCCCCTCGTTTTATTAAATTTGAGTTTGGATTATAATCATGTTGACATGTTGGTATTTTTCTTTTATTTGTCCTTGTGTGTAATTGAGTTATATTTTTTCCGCGTGCATAACCGAGTGTTGATTTGTCCATTTGCTTAACCTATTAATATTTTTTCGGTCTATGTAACAGATTTTTAATTTGTATGTCTGTGTAATGAGTTATAATTTGACCTTGTGTATAAACTGTATGTTCTGTACTTTGGAAACATTGATATATATTTTGTCCTTGTGTGTAACTGAGTTATATTAAGTCTTTGTGTGTAATTGAGCTATATATTGCCTCTGTATGTAGCTGAGCCGCTTGCTCTTGTGTGAACTGAATTAGGCTATGTAATTTGTCTTTGGGTGTATAAATGAGTTATATTTTGTCCCAGTGTGTAATGTGTATGCTATATGTAATAATTACTTTTATCCTGCGTTAACACTGAATTCGTGTCAGCTTTCCGTTGTGCTAACTTTGTGGTGACGATGTTTACATTTCTTCATTGTGTGATAAAACATGGTTTGAGTGTTTCATATCCTGTTGATAACAGTAATGGTAATACGATTGACGCAAAACATATTTGGTTTAATGCATGACTGAAATAACTGGCGGGTCGTATAAATGGTTACCAACATATCAAATCGCTAAAGATGTGCACAAATTATTAACAGAATCATGATCCAAACTTAAATTCAATAAAACTATGGCACAATATGAACAAAAGAATTTACACAGTCTCCTGAAAAACCGTGTGGAGAATAAGACCATGTGTTATGGGAGAGTAAGCGTCTCCTTCTTCATCGACGACATCCACCGTCTAAATCATGTCAATCCAGCCAGGTAAGTTATGTCATGTTCTCAAATTAAAACTATAATTTTAATCAACCTCCATCGTCCGTCGGTCGAAGACTTCTTGCACGAAAATCGTGATATTAGGAACTGACACTTGGATATTGAAACAACTGCGACACCATAGGGAAATTGAAACCGTCAACTTATCAATACGCTTGTTGGAAATATATCCATGTTGGGTCGTTGTAGGATACGCCTACAAACTTCCTGATTACATACCTACATAGCTCCTCAGATTTAGACGTTATGATTTGCGACGATATAACTTGGTCACTCAAGTTCTGCAAGTCGAGAGCACAGACTTCGGCTTTCCTTACATCACAGGGGATTTTCACAACGTCAGCTATAAAACGGCATTCTATTAGATATATCTATAATAATATATCGGTAAGCAATTAAGATTCGATTGATATGTCGTGTAAATGGCATATTTTTTTGTACGATACGATATTTTTTAATGATATTCACTAAAATTTAACGAAAATAAGATATGGTTTATAGTCATCTCAAACTCAATTGGTTAATCATGATATGACACTTAGTGACGTCTTACTGTTCCATGAACACAAAATATAGAATAGGCCAATATACATTTTATACAGAAAAATTTCAAACATCAATGATACAGATGACAACCGCTGACTGAATGTCAATGTCATGAGAACTTTGAAATACCTACCGAAATGGGGCGTTACGCTCAGGAGAGATATCAGCAGTCCAAAAATCCATAGCCTCCGAGTGAAATCTGTGAGGAGATATATATGTACGTTAGTTATATGCATTATCAACACCAGTTATTGTTTAAAATTGTTGTATTATGTTAAAAACTGTACAATTTATCATTTTTTATTCTACCATTTTATAGCATATGAACAATTACATTTAGAATTAATTTCCTTTGTGCCAGAAGTAACAACAATGTCCAAAAATCCTAAATGTCTAATAATTCAATAACGAACCAATAGCTGACTAACAATGGTCTATGATATATGGTACAATATGATTTAGACATTTGGCTGCAATAAAAAAAAACAAAGAAAACACCAACATGGTAATATAATGATTATCAAAACTCAAATTCCATGAAACAAAATATGAACAAAAGAAACATTTACACGGAGACTCCTGAAAAAGTACTAGAGTAAGACCAGGTTATCTTTGACAATTAGGGAGTACTTATTTTAAACAAATGTATTTCTATAAAGAAATTGAAAAGCATTTTCAAAAGCGTTTCAAAATTCGCCACAACCATACATTATGATCGAGAATATTTAGGTAATGAAATTACTTTTCCGAATGCAAAGTAGATTTAAAAAAAAATAATGATACTTTCTTTGTTATAAAGTATGGTTTGAGATAATAATGTAACTTAATATGTTGCCAAGAACATAAATATTTACGATTGGTTGTATTCTGCGTGCAACATTTAAATTCATTCAGATAGTGGAACGGTTCAGGATATACACATGCAGTTGGCGTTGTTTAGAAATTATCTGATATATGAAATTACAAAATTGTTGATCACTTTGGATTACTGACGGATCCTAGAAGGACGAAACAGCTGTATGTATCTAACTATAAAGTTGTATTAAAGGTGTTATTCACGTGTGTTTCTTATGTTCAGTCTTGTCAGCCTTTATATACGTCAAACAATAAATTTTATATGTCCTCTGTTAGTTACCAGGATAAGTGTTTATTCTAGAGTTAAGTTTACACACGATTAAAGTCAAAATTTAATTGTCGTATTTTATTGCTTCAAAATTAGGCAAGATGATTCGGCAGCAGTTATCGGTCTGTATCTAAGCTATTTACTAAACGGTATGGAATTACAGAGCACTTTCTAACAAGACAAGAAAAGCACCAATAGGAAGAAAGCAATATTAGAGACCATTCAAAATAAGTGCTTATTTCCGAGCAAAAGTGAATTTATGTATGCAAGATAAAACTTGGTATTTCAGTCGAATACTTGTGTTATCAGTCGATAAAACAAGAGTTTTTAAGTGTATGCATGAGGAGGTCGTTAAAATAGCACCGCTACAGGGCTAAGATAGCGTAACTCCATAGGTCACAGATCTATATCGCTCTAATTGGTTTTACACAACCTTGTATTTTTCCATCAGGCCCCTGTCTATTGGTGAAATGCACGAGGGATTAGATGGTGAATACGTTTCTTGTTTTGGATTGCGATAAAAAAGTAAAATTGGTTTCGCAAAGGTTTTAATCCTCTGTCCGCTTCCTTATTATCTTTTTATTCAAGTTACAGTTTGATAAATAAATGACACTAATCCTGAACTTCATTGAAACATTTTATAATAAAGTTTCTGAAAAAAACATTTTTCGATTACAAGATTCTGAGTGAGGCAACCCTAAATATGAATTTAATCAAAATACTTCTTGTTTCAATAGAAACCATTTAATATAAGTTTTTATTAATTTATAACACTTTTTAAAACAATATCTGTTATAGGAGTTTTTCTATCAGTTCAAAATTTCAAGATTTCTAAGATGATTTAAACTGTGATGTTCCAGTTCATAATCAGAAAAAAACAAACGTACGCGAATGCTTCTCCATGAGTTGAACCCAGCTTCTATTTTCCTTGTTGGTACATGTCATGTCTTCGTTCATTTCAAAATGACATACCCAGCGAATTCAATTTGCATAACATAAAGGGGTTGTAAACCTGTTGGTTTTTTGCATCACATTACACGGCATCACTAAGGACATCCTTTTCACGTCCAGTGAGTTACCTTCTGTACAATCCTAATGCAAGACAAAGACTTATAACTCAATATATATACACCGTAGTTATTTATCGACCACACTGATGTGTCACATAGATTAATAAATGTATTCCAAAATTAAAGGAAATGTCTACATCCTATTCCTGTTTATGGACTACTCGCTTTCTGAGGCTAGCTGGAACAAGAGACTTATCTGATGCATTACTTATTTCAATTATAGAACTATAAAATGACAAATGATCTGTCGTGTCTTCCTTTCCAAAATCTACTCTGCTCCCCATACAGTAAGATCTCTCCCAAAGTATGAGCCTGTTGATATAGTACACTACAACAGACAATAGCCGAAACTGAAGTAATTCCACAATTATCTTCAAGAACATCCTAAAATACCGACCGCTTCCTTACATAGCAGGCTTTAACCTTTAAACAATTAGTCTAACGATATTGGAATACTTTGTCATATTTATAGAACATATTTAGTTCGATGCTTGACCTTGTAGGATGAAATAAAAATATCCAGGGTTTAATAAGTTCAAAGCTACATTTAATAACATTTTCGTTAATACTTATTATCATATTCTTAGATACCAAATGTTAGTTTAGAGTAAAGGAATGGAGGTTGAATAGGTATTGTAGTTAATACTGGAAATAGGGAGTTTATGCTGACGTTATCTACAGATACATTCCATTACCAAGAATTGGCCATTTTTTTTACGGTTCAAAGTTTGATATTTTTCTATAATGGTCATTATGATATCTAAAATGTACTTTTAGGAGATAAGGAGATTCTTAATTCTCCAGGGAATAGCAGTATATATCCGCTACATCATTTGGTCTAGTCATTAGGTGGTAACAGAAGGGTTACTGTTACATGTATGGCAGACAATCTATTACGGCGGTCAGGAAGTCTTACACAGGCTTAGGAGCTCAGATTGCAATGTCGTTGATAAAATTAGTCTGTTAGACGGACCACTCAAATGAAAAACATAAAAAATTTAATACAATACTAAAATGACGCCTGGAAAAACCCTTAAAACTAAAAATGAAAGATATTCAAATAAAGATTTAAATGATGGAGTCCTTAAAATGTGGCGAAAGAGGTGGGCAAATTAAAGTGGTAAGCATAATATGCATTTGACACTTTGGTACAGTATGACATTTCAGATCCTTTCTATGTAATATTTTCCGTCAGTTACAGGTTCTTGGTGTGTGTCTCGTCAGAAAGTGTCCTCCCTGTCAATTGCATTTCAACATTAACCGAACCTTCGTGTAAATCCCATCAGTCAGTTTCCTGCCAGTCAAATTACATTTCAACATTAACCGAACCTTTGTGTAAATCCCATCAGTCAGTTTCTGCTAGTCAAATTACATTTCAAAATTAACCGAACCTTTGTGTAAATCCCATCAGTCAGTTTCCTGTCAGTCAAATTACATTTCAACATTAACCGAACCTTTGTGTAAATCCCATCAGTCAGTTTCGGCTAGTCAAATTACATTTCAAAATTAACCGAACCTTTGTGTAAATCCCATCAGTCAGTTTCCTGTCAGTCAAATTACATTTCAACATTAACCGAAACTTCGTCGATTATTGTACATGGTACGTACCCGACTAAAATCTGAATCCAACTGTCACTAAATTTAAAGTGAGGAGCTCAAGCAGATGTGTAAATCAATACATCACATTTCTTATCGCAAAACGAAATAGAATATTTCTCAATAAGATCGCTTATAAAACTGTTTTCACGAATTCTTTTAAAAGTATTTAAATTATGTAATAAAAGAATCTCGCGCGTTCGTTCACGTTTCGTTCGAGATTTACGACTTCCATCAGGAACATCAGCTAAGCCTTTAGAAGATTTTTATCCTTCCAGAGCAACTGGTCTTTTTATTGTACTTTTCCAGATTTCCCAAAATCTGTCTTTTGTGTATATGTTACATTTCTTTAGTCGATTTTGAGTGTTGATGTCGTTATTATCCTGTGTCTATATACATATAAATAGTACACAGGTACTTAGTGCACACACTACACCAGCGTGTTTGTCACGTGACCGCGTGTAAGTGACAGGATATACATCCTTTACAAATGAAACAATGGTAAAGCCTTGGGTGGATCTACAACATGTAAAAAATCGTATTTAATCCCAGAGACAATCCGTCTGTCACGGATCTGATAGCCGTATCGTTTACATTAACAACGGCGCGAAGTAATTAAAATCGAAATCAAAAACATTGTATTTGTATTTCATACCTAACCAACTATCTTAACCTTAAAATAACACATTTCAAGCACGATTTAGTGATAAATATAACATAATTAAACAAAAGTCCTAACCACTTCGATGATACATACTTGTAGAAATCCCAACCGAGAGTTAGATTATTAAGATCGATCTTAACAAAGGAATATGCATTGTGTACCCTAAAAAGCATACATGTATCTAAACGGCAAAGACTAATTTGTTCACGTACATTATAATGATGTAATTGCAGTGTTTCTTTGGGTACACAATAAACAATATGACTTTATACTGTTCTAATTGGCCTAGCTGTGCAATATTGGCAGGTGTCCATGTTTAACTAGTGACGACAATCCGGTCTCGGGTTATATTGTACCAGACGTATAAGCTTGTTTTCTCTTTTGCACATGATGTTTTAGTCAGGTTGTCAATGTGTTGTAAAGTGTTCACACTAACCTGTGGTCATTCTCGTTATTAGACAATACAATTTTTTGTACTTTTAGACATTGCGGAATGTCCTAATAACGTTATAACTGTATGGACTGATTAGTTACACGGCCGGAAGGCCCGGAGATATCAAGGATGCATGGTCCTGAACTATATAGAGGAGGAAGTTTTATGATACACTATAAAGATAAAACACGAAATAAATTGACCTAGAAATACGATAGCCACGCCCCTCTATACATAACAATGTTATCTTTAGTCAAGGTCAAACTACTTCAATGTTACAGGACAATATATTTGTTTTATATTCTAATAATGT